AAGGGGAAGCAGCAGGATGCTACATTGATAAAACGGCAGTGTCGGTGGGAGAGGCACTGCTCGGGCATGCAGAAAGCCATGTAAAGTACATAGCCAAAGGCTCTGGCATGTCTGTGCTCTACTCACCTAAGCAGTGTCTCACCATCTGCACTGCTATTTATTCCTGGGTTAAGGGGGCGGGCAGTGTCTGCCCTCTACACTGTAAGGAGTGTGTAGTGTCGCTGTACCCTGAGAATTGTGCAGACCACTGAAAAAAAACAACAACCAGGCACTGCCTGCCCCAACTGCTTCAGTTCAACTGGTGCCCAGCACAGGCGCTGCGCTGCCCAGCCCGCCCGCTCTGGGCCAGCCAGTCCCTGGTAGGAGTGCTGCTCAGTCCACCTGCTCCAGTCCAGCCACTGGCTGACTTGAATGGGAGTTTGTTTGAAGAAGCACCTAGTAAGATGCGAGTGGGGCTTGAGTACTCAGTCAGCACGGCTCTGGATCAGGTCTGAGACGCTCCTGGGTGACTGAGCTGTTTTTCTGTTGTCGTTTGAGCATTCATGTGCAGACCCAGGAGTGGGTGCGACTGTGCCAATCCTCCATGTCTGAGCGTTTGGGCAGCACATTTGCCTGTGTAGAACGTGAGCTCTTTCTGCTCGGCCAGAAAGTCTTGGTTTCTTCCTTCTGGTGTCATCTAACATTCAGGAGCAGGCCTCCAATAGATCTCTAGTAGTGAAAACATGATTGTCTCGCTGATTTCCCCGCCTCTGTGTGGTGCCTGCACACCTCATTCCCGTGGTGAAGCCGGAGTTGGCAGACACAGGGAAGGATGTAGCCGGCGGGCTGTGCTGAGTACATCCTTTTTGTTTTTAGGAAAGACTTGAAGAAATCTGAAGTCTTCATTGGCCCAAGATCTGGCAGGAGATGTGGGCGCAGAGCTCAGAAGACCGTCTGCTTGTCTCCAACGGATCCCTATTCCGGGATGCTTACTACAGGTATTGGCAGGGCCAGGAGGATGGGGGAGAAGCTGTTGCCACTGTGTCATCTGTCTCTTGGGACCTTGCTGCCTTTGGAGGGTAGCGGTGTGGGTTGCAATGAAACATGGCAGGATGTGAACACCAGCTCTGAGTCTGCTTTCCTGACGGGATGTGCGATATAATGCCCGAGTTCAAGGAAGCCTCGTGTGTCTTTCTGTGATTTGGCAAAGCTTGATGGATGGGGAAATATCTGAACCAACGTTCTGGAGGAAGTCAGATCAGGCTATTGTTCTGTATGCAGTCCCGCTGCCAGGAAGGACGCCAGTGCTGATGTTCCAGGGACCATCCTATCTGTACTTAGCTGGAGCTTCTCAGTCTCCTTCGGAGTAAGGATCAGAGTTTGGGTCTGGTTTAGATCCAAATGTTCAGAAGTTTATCCATATGATTCTAAGCCCTGCCCGCCCCCACCCAATCCATACCACCCCACAGCCTTCCTGCTCCCCTCCCGTCCCCGCCCATCCAGCAGTCTCTGGAGATAGTTCAGATCAGCACCTGCACCTCTGGATGCTTAGCTGAACCCCAGCTGGTACTTTGGCATTACCATCAGGGGATCAGGATTGGCTCATTGTAGTCGCATAAATCACAAGAAATCCAGAGGGCTCCCATCCCGCTAGCAGTGAAATTCAGACATTGCAGACATTGCCTGCAGTCTCAAGGAAGGGTGTATTATTTAGACAGAAAGAGAGTAAAATATTGTCTGCCTTCTAGAGCCAATAAATGCCAAATAAATCTGTCCCCTAAATGCTAAAAGGCAGCTAGAAAGGTTCACCACTTTCTCAGTCTGTTGTGCCTTCTGCCAGAGGACCTAGTCTATATAAAGAGCTGGGGCAGACAGCCCAGGTGTGGGTGAACTGAACCTGGCTAACAATGGCATCTCCCTCTCAATATTCCATCTAGGGGTTTGTGTCGAAGCTGACAGCCAGTGGGTGGCTCAGATTAACAGGCTACAGCAGCTCATTGACAAACTGGAATGCAAGGTGAGTGGGCAGAGGGGAGACTTGTTCCGCATATGGTAATACAGCTCAACCCCACCCTGCAGCCCCCCTCCGAGTGTGGGCCTGGACCCCTGCATCTCAGCCAGTGCAGCATCACCTCTCACTCGCCTCAGGCCTGACCTGCAGCACTCCCTGCTGTTCTGGTTCTGGCCCCCCTGTCAGCTCTGCTAATGGGCCCACTCCTGACCTGAGCACCCCTTGTTCTTTCAGGTCTGGGACAGCTCAGTCCTGACCCCACCGGCCCCCCTCCTACTCACCACTCGACCTTCCCTGCAGAGCTCTGCTGACATGCCACCCCCCTTGTTCTTCAAGTCCCCAGCCTCTCCGGAGCAGATCGCTGCTCTGTCAAGTCCCAAGTTGGTTTGGCCAGTGAATTAATATCCAGTGGGGACTCTCTTGAAGGTCCCATGGAGGGGCACCCCTGCTCCAGAGGAGTCACCTGGCTGGTCATGCAACTGCCCTCCTGCAGCTCGGGTCCCTCCACCCTCTCCAGACGCTGCTGCTGGCCTGCCTGCCTCCTCCATCAGTCCAGCTGGCTCTCAGCGGGTCAGGTGGGACTCAGGCAAACCCTGCGCACAGCACCCTCTTTGACAGGCTGCCCTGGGCCGCTGCCCCAGCTGCCCGGAGCCAAGGCCCGCCCTGACCCCACCCTTGTTTTCCCCTGTAATTGAATTCTCGTATTAGTAATGGTTTTGCTTTTCTACAAATGCAGAGCCCAAGGCTGGAGCCTCTAAAAGAAGAAGTTGTTTGCAAAGGGAGAAACGCTGTAAGTTCTAGGCCGGCTGCTTTCCATTGATTGCTAGCACAGAGACAAAGAGATTCTCTCTCTGTCTCACACTCACATCCGTGCGGGTGCAGATGGATACAGGCCTCCTGTCCCTGCACTGACACACGGATGTGCACACCTGCCTGAGCACAGACAGACGTGCACATTCCTGGTTGAACTCACCAGGGAGAGCCCCTGACTTTGTTCTGAAGCTGGAGTCATTGTTCCATGTTCTCGCACCCCAGATCGGCAGGAAAGGGAACCAGAATGGTGGGCTGACTAGGGCATAAGTTCCATCCGCTAAATGGTTCCTCTGAGGAGAGCTTGTTTCCATCCGTGGGTCTGCATGTGAAGAAAGGGCACTGATTCACCACGCCCCTAGTCTTGCAGAGACAGTAGTCGTCCTGCTCCCTGTGGGCAGGGTACGCGTTACACCTCCTCACTCCCAGGGTGGCCTGTTGCAGTTGCAACCAGTTCATTACTGTTCAGTTAACAGAGGAGATGGTGCCTCTTGGACATGCTCAGCACACACCACTTATAGAATATCAGGGATGGAAGGGACCTCAGGAAGTCATCTAGTCCAACCCCCTGCTCAAAGGGGGAACCCATCCCCAGACAGATTTTTGCCCTAGATCCCTAAATGGCCCCCTCAAGGATTGAACTCACAACCCTAGGTTTAGCAGGCCAATGCTCAAACCACTGAGCTATCCCTCCCCCCAAGGGACCGTGGCTTAATAAGCCACCATGCAGTGTGCTGGGCAGGGGACAGCAGAGGGGGCGGCGAGTCTGTAGTACAAAGGGCAGCCCCAGCGAGCTCCAGGAGCAAGAGTACTGACCCTCCCAACGAGTCGGCCCCTTTGCCTCTAGCAAGGCCCTGCAGGTTTGGCCTGGAGTCCTAACTGTGCCCTCTCTCCCTGCAGCACATCCTGGTGGCTCAGAGACAGCTGTCGGTGACAGAGAGCGGCTTAGAGGGATTCCACCAGGCACTCCAATCCTACACAGAGGTCACAGCTGGTCAGAGCCGCTGCTTACAGTAAGTCTCCTGAGCAGCTGTGGAGTCAGACATTTGGCTGGAGGAAATATGGGTGTCCGTAATGTCGCTGATCACAATGCTTCACACCTTACACCTGAAATTACAAGCGTTCAGGAATCGCACAACACATGAAAGAAGTGCTCTAAATAATGACGGTTCGCACCTGTACAGCACTGTAGAGACGCCATCAGACGTTAACTCATCCATCCTTGCAACACTGCTGAGAAGTAGGGAAATGCTACAACACTAGATACCTGTGTCAGATAGGGAAGTATTACTGTTATTGCTGTGAATTATTATTATTCCTCTTACAGACTGGAAATGGAGAAGCTAAGTAACTTGACCAAAATCTTACCCCACAAGTCAGTGGCAGAGCTGAAAAAGACCCAGGCGTCTTGATACTCAGTCCCCTCCTCCCAATATTGTAATTCTCTTTTTCCCTTGAAAGAAGAAATTGGGTACATTCTTCCCTTTTGCCAAGCAAGGAAGGAGGTGCCCCCCACAGCTGCTCCCATTGGGGAATTGGGGCCAGATTTTCAAAGGGGTTTAGGTACCTAAAGATGCTGATCAGCACCCGTGGGATTAACAAAACATCGAAGGAAGGGAGGTATTGCATTCCCATTGAAGTCAATAGAAGTTAGGCACCTAAATACCTTTGCAGACCTGGGCCTAGGCATCGAAACTACTTAAGCACTTTTGAAAATCCCATTTAGGCACCTCAATAACTTTGAAAATCTGGCCCTTAGTGTCAGAGCTGAAAGAAGTGTCTTTTATGGAGCACAGTATGTAGGTGATGAATTCATTGACCATGCCACAGAGGTATGACTGGCGAGCTATGGGCATGATGGGTAGCGTGGCCTGGTGGTCACAGCAGGGAGCTGAGATTCGGGAGATGCTAATCTGATCCTCCGCTGGCACTGACTTGCTGCATAGGCAAGTTAGTTAGCCTGGTTGCCTCTCAGTGTCCTTGTCTGTAAAATAATCACAGTACTCACTCTCTCACAGGGGAGTCTGATCGCTAGTATTTGCAAATATCTTTGAGAGCCTCAGGATGGAGTGTTGTTATACTGGCATAACATTTTGGCTGAGGGTTTGTCTACATGGCAGTCAGAGCAGGGGCTTTGTAATGAGGGGACCAGGGAGCCATGGCCCTCCCATTTTAAAAGTGGGGGCAGAGAGGAGCGGATTGGGGCGGGGCCTCGGGGGAAAGGTGGCATGGGGGCTGGGCCTCACTTCAGGCACCTGTAGCCCCCCCACTTTCAGGGTGCTTCTGCCGCTCCTGAGTCAGAGATGTGACTGTACCTGTGCTAGCTTTAGTCTAGCTAGCGCGACTCAGAACAACAGCGAAGAAGTGATAGCCAGATCCTAGCATGGGCTAGCAATGTGAGTACATCCCCCGGGCTCTGTGCACGCTCGTGCAGCCTGTGCCAGGGTCCACGGCGCTGTCTTCACTGCTATTTTTAGCTGCACTCGCTAGATTAAAGCTGGCACAGGAATGCCCACACGCAGGGCCAGCTCCAGGCACCAGCTTAACAAGCAGGTGCTTGGGGCGGCCAAGGGAGAGGGGCGGCACCTGCGGCAATTCGGGGGCGGCAGGTCCCTCACTCCCTCTAGGAGCAAAGGACCTGCCGCCGAACTGCCGCTGCCGATCGCGGCTTTTTTTTTTTCCCCCCC